TATATATATATATATATATATATATACATATAGCTAAAATTAGCTAAAATCTATCGACCCAAATATTTGGGCATTAATAGTTGTCATGCACATTGCAGACTTAGTTTGTCGTTTTTAGGGCCTATCAGAGCCATTAACTGTTTCAGTAGTCTTCTCACTCAGAAGGGACTCGGCTGGTAATCAAAGACCTACACTCTTTGAGTGCGTCTGCCTGTCAGGCACTGTATATAGGCTTCTGTAATCATCTTGTCTTCGTTATTTGATGAATGGCTAATCAGGTATTAAAATGAAATTGTGTGACATTAGTGGAACAAATGAGAACAGGAAGGAGAGAAGATGGGAGAGGTGGTGGAGCTCTCTTAAACAAGAGCACACACAATTAAATTCTAAAATTAGGGCCTTGATTAAATGTTAAACTTGCTGCACCTATTCTGGTGGTACCTACTATTAGCATCGACGCCCACATTTATTCTGAGGGGGTGTTGGAATTTGGGTGTAACTTGCGTGTGCATTAAACCTGAAGTAAAAGAGGAGGTTGGATGGCACTTATCTTTGAGTGAGGGGTGTAAAATCAGATTGAACCTCATAAAATAGTTATTCTGATGTTAAAACAATTTTATAAAGCAACAGATTGTATCATATTCAGTCAGTAGGATTAGTTTTGGTATTTTTCTGTTTTTATTTCTTATTTTTACTGAAAAAAAAAACTGTGGAAATGGCAATGATCTCTCCAGCATTCTTTTATCATTGTTAGACATTTTGTCATTTTGTTCTAATTTGAACAAGAGCTTAAGCCGATCAGTTGGTCCATTTTCACAAGCTGCATATGTGTATATTTTAACAATAAGTCAATATTTTTCATACTGCAATGAATTTATTAAAACACCTTTAAATGGAAATCTTTGCAAAGTCCTTTTTTGCTCCTAAAAGGAAGGGAATAAAACAGTATATTTTAGGGAGAAAGAATGAATGTAAATATACAGTGAAAATCAAATTTGTTGTTGGAAATAACCTTCCCTGCCCCAAGATAAAAAAACAAAACAAAAAAACAACCAAGCTATTTGCTAATGCTGTTAGTCACTGTGTATCCTTTTTTTCTGCAGCTTGCAGTAGCTGTATTTTTCGTCTGCCTTCTAAGGAATCCCAGTCCATTCTTGTTTGCCAAGGTTCTCCAGATTTGACTGTCTTTGTCTGTAGTTTGCCCCACAGATTTCCATTTGAATTCCAGTCAGGAATTGTGCAAGCCAGTCAGTTAGGTTCACTCTGAACTTTGCAAGGTACTCTGTCACTAAAACTAACATATTTCTTGGATTTTTTTATCATTATGTTCAGCGAAAACACAACTCAGATGCAGATTTAAACTAGCTTCACGAAGTGCTTTGTCAGAGAAAGAAATGGTTGAGTAAATTACCTCTGAGCTAGTTTTCTTGTCAAAGGGAGAACATAATGCTGGGGATTCAACTTAGAAATACAGCAGAATGGGAGAATAGAGACAGAAAGAAGCAGAATAATGAAAAGAGGTCCCTATGTCCTCCAGCAATCTAAGCCTAGAGCAGCATAAATATAGAGATAGCTCAGGATAAAATGATCCACTCTAACTATAGGCTTCGTCAAAAAAGGATTGTTTTAAGCCTGGTTTTTAAAGGTCTGCCTCACGGACTAAAACTGGTAGTTGGTTCCTCGAGAGAGGATCCTGATAGCTTAAAGATGCATCCAATTCTACTTTTAGAAATTCTAGGAACTACTAGTAAACATGCAGATTGAGAGTGAAGTGCTCTGTTTTGAACACATGGAACAATCAGATCTCTGATATAAGACTGAGCTTGGCTATTTAAGGCTTAGCATGTGAGAAAGATAGACTTCACTAAGTTGTGTGTGTAGTTCTTGAAGCTTTTTTAAATCCGCCTAAAACTCATGATTGGGGGAGATTCTTTAAAATGTTCTTAAAGCTATTGTTAACCCTTTTGCTTGTACAACATTATTTTTCTTGTACTTTTACCTTAACTTTGCATTTCTATCCTGGTATGCAGCACATTTTTTGAATCTCTTACGTCTTTAGTGAGGTTTTATGTGGTTTTCAGTGACTATTGATTGGAAAACTGTCCAATCAGCCATTTTGGCATGGTTGTGTAGACCAGAACGTTGACATTACAGGTTTGTTCTATCATTTTTAAATGGTTTGTAATATTTACAAATTACAATAAGTTGAATTTGGGATTGACATTGTAATCCAATTTCCTAAATATAGAAAACTCTTAGGGTGTTTACATGAAATCCACATTGAAGCACATTGTTGCACTTTGGTTTAATACAATTTTTTGACTTTGTGTGGAACTTGGTCTTAGCATCATTTTCACCAGGACTGTTTTTCTGGGTTTATTGCCCCATGCAAAACAAATGAAGCCTGCAGGTAATTGTTGTAACATTTTCATACTTTTTTTAAATTGAACTAAACCAAAAGTTTGTTATATGGTCCATTATTTTCTCCTATATTGCTCGTCTTCTGTTGGTTATATAGCAGTGAGGTATATGTGATTGCTTGAAATGGGCTTTAAATGACAAATCACTTGAATTACTTTTAACTTTCTACTATTTTAACTATCAGTGGCTTTTAAAAAGAGGAAACTGATTAAGGTTTCTGTGCATCATTTTGTATGTTTTTTTGTTTTGTTCTTTTTCTCGTAGGAAAGTACGGGCGTAATGCCGGCCTGCCCTTCCTCAGACCTCCTCTAACTGCGGCTCTGCTTACGCTGGGAAAAGCTCACCAGGTCACATTAAAGCTGTCATCTTCGGGAGATTTTTCACAGCATCATTGTTTGCAATTGTTAATTTTGTTTTTTTATTTTGCTGTAAACCTACAGAACGCCATGGTGGGTAACGGACTTGTCCTCCAGAACCTCCTGCACATGCAGCTCGCACAGCAACAGCTTCTTCACATCAAAGACAAGCGAATCAGCAGTGTAAGACGCCTATGTTTGTGTGTGAGAACATTTGCATGAGTTATTGGGAAAGGTAGGTGTGTTCTCTGACATATGAGCTCTTACATTTCCAGCTTTTGCACTAAACTCATATTAAAACCTAATCACCACAAAATCACTCAACCTAATTGGCTCTTTTTGTTTATAGTAAGACCTGGGGGTGATTAAGTTTCCCCCTGACATTTACATCTTTTCTTTTCAAATGTCTCTTGTGTTTTCTTTAATTGCTTCAAACAAAGCTAGAAGCCACAGTTGTAATGCTTAGATGCTTTCTTCTGAAAGTCACAGACCAGATGTTTTACTTCTGATTTTTTCCCCGCTCAGACTCCCCATAGCATTGAAAAAAATAATAAGCCAATACATGTTTTAAATGAAACCATCCTTCTTTTTCTACATGACAGTCCAAATCTATGACTAATGCAAGTAGGAAAGTTATTCATATACATAAAAGAGATAAAAGATAATATAGAATTTTTTTAACTCTACATTAGTTTTCATTCAATCATTTAAAGTCTCCTGAGTTAATATTTTGTAGTAAATTGTCTCATTTAAATGAAATGGGATCAAGTCTGTTTCATCTGTTCTACCTTCTCTTCTTATTCATCTTTTTTTTACTATTGCATGTCTAAAGCTTCTTTTTTTTCTCTCCACCTTTATCAGGTCACCAGTCTGCTTGGAGACCCTTCCAGGCTGCTGATGCAGAAAGCTCTGTCTCTGAGGCCTCCAGGTCTCCTATCACTGGGTAAAGGCATCTTAGGTGACTCTCCTACAGGTAGGCAAAGCTGACTTCTGAGATTTAGTTAAAACACTTTTTTTGTAATAACTCATAACCAAAGAGTTAAAAATCAAAAGTATTCCTTACCTGCAGCTTATTTTCTAACACTGTCTTCTTTAAATACTAGCTCACTCTGGTTTTATACCAAGTTTTTCCTAAAAGATGACCTTATCCCGATGCTGTATTATTAGCTATCATTCTGTTTTACACCGTTTTTTGCTCAATTGGTCAGTAAATAAAATCTTTCAGGTAATTTTCAATAACAAAGAAGGACAACACGATACTGCACATGTGCTCAGGGGATAAACAATGGAGTAGCCTACTGCAGCTAAGCCTGTTAGCACATCCCAGGGAGGTGAAGAAATAACAAAGTAAAGTCAAAGATCCAATAAAAATTAAATCACCATCATTACTCAATTAGAAGTAAAGTACCAGGATTATAAATAGTTATTAGTTCAAACCTTTTACTCAATAGAAGCAAACAATTACAAGTTTAAGAACTACTTAAAGTATTACAGTAAGATGTGAAAGGAAAAAAATCCCACAAAGTACGAAAGCGTGTATGTTATATAAAAATGTTAATGTTGAATAATTTGAAATTCATGGGGCTACCAATTACAGCTGCATATATGTTTCATGAAGTGCAAGATATGATGACTAATACCTATGGTGCAAAAATTTCGACTTCAGATGCCTTTTGAGTAGCCTTTACGGGATGGAACATTTTGAGCCAATCTGACTGTATGATCTGGTTTAATTGTCTCTGTAAAGTTCCTTAAGATGGCATGTGTTTTGAATTACCATTATATAGATAACCTGAATTTGATTGAATTGAATTGAGAGTAAAAGTACATTCAAGCTTAGCTGCACTAACATTAAACCAAAGGTTACAAAACAGGACAGGAACAAGTGAATCCAAGGCAGGCTTTGTAAAACTCTGTTGTTTAAGGTTGATCAAGTAAAATGCACAGTACTGAAAAAAAAAAATTCTCAAAATAACTGATCTAAAAGTAGATAAATATCTTGGTAATTCATGATACTCTGTTTGGCCATCGATGTGCAAAAGTTGTCTACTCTTCTTGGCAAACGATCCCCTCAGTGGTACTTGGCTGGGAAATTCTCCTTTATTTCTTTAGGAACTTTTCCATCTTTTTCTCTGCTACATCCGTGCTGAAATGTGACTTAAATGTGATCTGTCTAAAGTCCTGGTCAGACGAACAGTGTATAAACCAATAGGGTGTACAAATGATAAATGTGTACTCTTCTCATCCAATCATAATCAAAATTTTTTATCCAAATAGCACAGTTTATATGTGTTTTTTTCCCACCCAAAAATGAACATTTTAAAAGGTTCATTTTTGGGTACTTAAAAAAAAGTTACTTAAAAAAAAGTTAGAGTGGAAAGTACAGATAATTGTATGAAAACTTAAGTAAGGAGTAAAAAATAAAGTGGACCTAAAAATAATTACTCCAGTAAAGTATAAATAACATAGGTAAGTTAACAAAGTATTTATACTTATTTCCTTGACACCTCTGGTGCTGGAAGTACATTATAAAGATTGGTCTTCTCTGAAGTACAAGCTAAAACTGCAGAGCTGTTCAGTTGGGGCTGCTAGATTCATAGATGTGTGAGTAAATTTTCTTATTAATACTCATACAAGTGATAGCATTGTTTAGCATAGCATTATGTTTCAGACTGTTTGAGGTCCCTCAAAGAAAATTATTTTAAAACCATGTTTTCCCTTATTTGCATTTATGCTCAGACAAGGGAAAATCTGTTGACCTCTGGTGCCTAAAGGTTGGGGTATCTGAGTCCTTGAAGGTCAGCTCCGATATTTGAACTCGCTGTCAGAAAGTGTAAATGTTTGGGATGACAGGGCCGAATATCTCACAGCTGTACATTACTGAAGCAAACATCCCCAGGATGCAGCAGTGCATTTCCAACTCAAATCCCCAGCAGAGACAAGCTGTTGTTGTTTTAAATGGAAATGATATCTCACATATAATGGGCAGAGACATAGCAGACAGTTGTGTGTACTAATGTATTAGTGGGTCCGTCCTTCAGTGTCTGGGTGTGTGTGTTTGTTTTACTTCTGTTCTGTTTGTAAAGTAAAGCTTTGATTGTTGTTAGCTGGGAATCTTAGCCTAAAGACTCGTTGGAGTCAATCCTATCATTGTGTTGCAGAGGTTATTTGTCACAGTGATATTAGATCCGTAATATTTATAACTCTTGTGTGTGGGTGTTCATCTTTAGTGTTGTGTGTGTGTCTGCTCTTGTTATGTGTTTGTACATCTTTTTGTTATTAAACCCTGGAGTAAGCGAGGGAGATATTGGGAGTGTGCAGCTAAGTGCTGAGCTGTAGATGAGCATGATAAGTGATGAAGAATGAGCAGGAAGCCCATTTGAAATTATAACACTCAGCTCTAGAGACAGCTTGGCTGGGATCTCAGGTTTCACCAAGATCATTTTTCTGTTGTTTTTTTCCCCCTCCAGTGGAGACGAATGCCATTGGTCATCATGAAAAGCTGTATCTTATATAGTCTGTTATCCTTCCGACACCTTACTTCGCTTCATTTCCTCTACTATATTTCTTTGTGCTATCTTCCTTCTTTATCTTTGCTTTCCCTCCCATTCATTTCCTTACCTTTTTTTTTTTTTAAATGTTCTCATATGTTTTCGTTCTCCATCCTAGAGCTGCTCCAGGAGCCTGTGCCATCAACTACCCACAACTCTGCAGTAGTGGCTTCAGCAGCCGGGGTGATGCCGTTTCTTCAGGGTCGAGGAGCAGGAACAGGAGGAGGAGACCATAACATCTCCCTGTCTGTGTCAACAGCCCCTTCTGCTTCCTCCTCTTCCTGTTCCACCTCCTGCGACAGACAGCCGGCTCCTCCTGGGACGTTGGGGAGCTCCCAGCCACAGGGACAGAGCTACTCTTTGGGTATAAGTAACTCAGGCCTTGGCCCGCCTCCACCTAAACCCCCCGGAGGAGTGTATGCATCATCCGGCCAGCACAACAGCTCAGATGGTAACAGTCTGACTAACATGGTGAGCACACTGAGGTGTAAAGATGCCACCCTGTTAACTGTAGCTTCTTCCTTCAGCAGAGCGATGATCACAATCTTCTGGCCTGAATATCATTAGTTTACCAGTAGCTTACATGGTGTCCCTCCTTTATTTATACTAAACCAGATATTACAGCTCTTGACAAATACTATAATACAGAGGTTAGCATTTCTTTAGTTTCATGACATGGGACAGATGGACCCAGTATTCAGGCAGAGTCGGACAGAGGGATGTTTCAAAACATTTAATACAAAATAATAAGACAGAACAGAAACACGGGCTGCTGTGGATCAGTGGACCTGTAGCGACTGCAGGGGGAAGGCAGCGAATTGCTCATCAATGGCACTCCGGATGTGGGGGAAACACAGGTTAGTGACCAGGATAATCTGACAGAAGATGATTATCTGTGTTTGTCACTTACCTGGTTTAACAGGTCAGTCCATTCTCTCATTAAAGGCAGGATCAGCCAATGCACTGTCAACGAGATGCGGCACTGAGCCATCTAGAGCATCCCTGATGCAGCAACCCTAGCTAGCAGGCAGGAGACCAATCCAGGTTCAGTTCAGAACGGGACCGTTCTGAGAACTATGAATCTGTAGCCAGAGCAGGGTTTCCTATCCACACAGGAACAGACAGATACAGGGTTCCAGGAATCCACAGAGCATTTAAGGCAGGTTCCGAGTTACAATGAGTCCAGCTGCGAGTTCAGACAGACAAGCTCAGATGGAGATAGGCGGGCCCAGTGGTTGAAAGGGACAGAAACAACACATGGTACCAGGAGAACGGCAGAACTTTAAACTGTTCTCCACCTCGGAGCCAGGATTACGGGAATTAAGACGGGCTCCGATAGCTGAGCTGAACCGTGTATAAAGCAGTGGGAGCAGGTGAATAAGAGTGCTGATAATTAGAGCACGGGGAGGGAAGGGCAGGGGAATGAAGTGAGTAATCAGATCAGCTACCTGGGCTGCTATCATGACAATGTGGCACTGAGTCGGAATCTTTGAGTCAAAAATAGGGTTTTTACTTTAACCCAAAACCGGAATTTATAAAAAAAAAAAAAAAAAAAAAAAAAGGCCATTAAGATCATATGAGTTTAAAGAAACAGCATTTAACTGATTGCACAAACAAAACACAAATGAAACACAAAGGTGTCTATATTCAGGCTGATCAGAGCATCATCTCTCAACTGTGGAGACCAAACCCAACAACCAAAATGTACATAAAATCAACCCAGTTCAGTTAAGCCTGTTATGCTAAGCTACAGCAAAGAAGGAAACCAAAAGACATTAAATCTTCAAACAAATAATGAGCCCAAATACAAAAGGCTATTTTAAAATAAAGAAACTTGAAGATTCCCCTACCCAGGCGGCACAGGGTCCACTTTGGATGCCATCTTTGTCAGGGAATAAAGAAAGATAAGACCATAAAATGAACAGTCTATCCATTAGAATGAAGGTAGGGGGCTGGTGCCTGTCTCTAGCAGTGGATGGGGGAAAGGACAAGTAGACCCTGAGCAGATTTAGAGACAACAATCAACCTGATGGTTTTGACTGTGGAAGGAAGCCAGTCCCATGCATGGGGTGAACATGAAAAAACTTCATGTAGAAAGACACAAGACTTGCTGCAAGCCAACAGGGCTGCAAACTGCACCACCATTGAACGATTTCATAATCATCACAAACCAAAAATGACACCTAAACGGATAAAGTTTCATAAATGAACTAATTACAGGAGCTTAGAAATAGAATAAATGTATTTAAACCAATAAAAAGACCTAAATGCAAATCAAGGTGATTTTTGGGTTGGACATATAAATCAATGAAGGGTGCATAAGAGTATCACAGGCCGAACAAGGCTGAACAAAGTTTTATTTGTACAATTTCTGTATATACATAGTAAAAAAAAAAATGTTTTGTTATCTTCTGTGAACATTAGACATTGCTACTAGACAGTCAGTGAAGTACTGACAGCTTAAAATTTATATGTAAAACATAAAACATAAAATGCATCAAAATTAGCTGCACAGATATATTTTCATTAGCATTTTGTTTTACATAAATTCAGCTCAATTGCCAATTATTCAGTGTTTTTTTTCTAGTTTCCTTGGTTTTTTGTTTTGTTTTTATTTTAATGTACCCCCAGCTTTCATATGCAGTATGAGCATTAAATGAATGAAGCGAGTTGGTTGAAGCAGTGCTTTGTTGGACTGCTTTGAATAGTCCCACTATTTTTTTTTTTTATGAAGTCACTTTTAATTTTGATTATTTAAACCACAGATGTTAAAAAATGTTTCTCACCATTTAACCTTGTTATCTCTTCTGTTAACAAACGATTAATAAAGCTCAGTAAAGAAGTTGATCGATGGCGCAAGGCTAAAGTAAAAATAGATGTAGTTTTTCATGGATACATATTTTCTGATAATTAACACGTTCTGTTTTCAGTCTTTCAAGCTGTTGCTCTTTCTCCAGCATCTCTTTCTGCGTTGAGATGCTCTGCTTTTTTGGCTTTTTAACTCATTATAAACCACAGTAGTTGTAAAATACTCCACTGAAATCTCTAACAAGGCTGTGCACACCTGTAATCACAGTAGTGAGTGCTTCTGGGAAGGAATTCCCTCTTTGGGATTGTCTTTAGATTCAAGAGAGTTTAATTAACAGAGCGACCTAAACCGGTTCTCCTCCCTCTGAAGCAGCAGCAGACCCTCTTCCCTTGGATGTTTTTAAGGATTGCTGATTAATGTGTGAGGAATAATATCCTACCTATTTAAGTTTTGAACATTCCGCTATATTACACTTGCAGATATCAGTGTGTTTTATGTGACAACTGCAAAGTGGAAGGAAATTATCCATACTTGCATTGTGGGTCTATTTATTCCTCCTGAACTAATGCTTTCTAGGACTTTTTCAAGGCGATCGCATGTGCCAACAGCTATACATATCTAGATGGTAAAAAGCCTGCCTTTGCCTCTTTAGAAGAGGATTTTAGTTCTGTCAGATTGGATGGAGAGGGTCTGTTTTCAAATTATCCCACAGATTTACAGCAAGGCTATGACTGGTGCATTCTAACAGTTATGTTACCCTTAAAAGTAAACTTCTCCATGAAGCTCATGCTGTATGCTTAGCGTTGTTGTCTTGGTGAGAACTGAACCTCTGCTCCCATCTCAAGTTCTTCACATTGTAAAGGGCCTATATGAAGCAAAATCAGCATTGTTGGCTTTTCAGACTTTATGTTTGTTGCAATAATGTTTCCCCTTCATCAAAATCATGCAAAAAGTGGTGTTTTATTCAGTACATGCCAGTCTAAGTAATGCTCCTCATTTCTACTCTCTGATCAGCAGCAAATTTTGAACTTACCTATGCCAATTACTGCACATCTTTTCTATGAAAGTTGGGAGGAATGTCTTCCATACACTGAAAAAAAAAAAAAAACTGTCCTACATAGGAACATGTTAACCAACCTTCTTCCAGGAAGGTGAGACGGAGTGTCTCTTTTAGCAGCTAATCTGCATAGTGACAGCAACTGTTTTTATAGCTAGTGTCTAAGTTATAAAAATTTGTTTTTTGGTTGCAGGGTCTCAGACTTTGTTCAGGGCCCATGTATATTGAAGAAGTACATGGATTCTTTCTGAAACCAAACATAAAAAGACCCCAAAATATATACTTCATGAAATGGCCGGCAGGAGAAAACAGCTGATATTTTATAACTAATACGGTAATTGCGCCGTAGTGCGAAAGGGAATATTTCATCATATATATATATATCTATAGTTGACTTTAAAAAGCACAATTTAGGACATTTGAAATGTTTTCCTATAGGATGTATTACTACAGAATGTATTGTTTTGGATACAAACATGAATCCTGAATTGTTCTTATTTGACTAATGCTTCTCTTTAAAGGGTTTTCCTTCACCGCTTGCTGTCTTCTTAACGCCCTTCAGATGATTATTTTAACACTTGGGATAAAGTAGAGAAGGATTTATGGAGAATAAACTAAATACAAGACAAGGCAATGCTGCTTTGCACTAGATTTGATTCAGCAGTTGGAGGATTTTAGTTAAGGGTAGCAGAGGAATTGGGGGTTGAGTATGTAGCTATGCATGCCACGTTCAGATTTTTATTATTTTATAATCTTTTTTTTTAAATAATCCCCCTTCTTCCTTCTTTTTTTCCAATTAAATACTACTTTGTGTTGTTCTGTTGTATAAAACACAAATGAAACAATTTGAAGTTTGTAATGTGATAAAACATGAAGTGCTTATATGTTTTTCAGGGCGCTGTATGATTAAAATGTCTCTCTCTCATCAGGTAAACAGTGGACAGAATTCTCTATTAGGCGATCCTCCTAAAGAAGTCAGACTGCCCTCTAATCCATACCTGAACTTGGCCAGTGTGATGCCGGGAGTCGTTCTGCAAAGTGAGCACAAAAATACGCACACAAAATAAAAAATCACGCTTGGACATCAGTGAGTCTTTTCATGCTCTAGTCCATTATATAAAGGATTGAAACTGAAAGACTGTATGGTAATGGGAGATGGTGTCCCCTTTTTAAGAAAAACGCATTTCAGTTAAACATTTTAAAACTCTGCCTCCAATTTTTCAGATTGAATGTTTGCAGTGTGGTATAAATCTCATAGGTTGCAAACGCATAGGAAAGGTAGAAGAAATCAACACAGGGTCACTTTGAAGCTCTCTAGCGGAATCATTCCTCTCTGTGTCATTTATGAACATTCAATACAATGTAAACATTGACAGCTCAACATGCCTTTTCAATATAGCCCAGCTCTGGTCGTAGGCTCCAGAAAAAAATGAAACAACAGTCTGAGCCAGAACCAGTTGGGTATGCCCCACTTTTTTCCTTCAGTCAGCTGCAACATCCAATCCTCAGACAGGAGGAGGCCATAAAATGATCGGCCGAGTAACTGTGCTGCCTCGGCTCATGCTGGAGTTACCTTGACAGGTACCACCCACCTGGGTATTGTTAGTGAGAAACAAACTTGTGGACAGCAGCTGTCTCTTTGACCAGGAGAATGTGCCACAACATTGGGAAGAAAAAGGCTGAAAATATTTTAGCTATGTAGAAGCCTGAGATGGAAGGTTTCCACTGGACATGATATAGATCTTGTTGAATGACAAGATAATTGCAGCTTAATGTTTGTCACTAAAGCAGCAGAACAGTGAAAACGAACAAATAGACCAGTCAAGGACAGAGTTAAGGAGTTTCTAAAACAACACTTAAGCTTTTAACATATTTTTCAAGACATGAAAGACAAATTAAATTAAAAGTCTTGAAGCTTACATAATTCAAAAACAAGAATTTAGGCTTGTAAGTTTGTTTGGCCATAGAGTATTTATCCTCCAGAAGAGGCTGAAGTCCAGTCCTCTAAAAGCAATACCTGAGCTAGACTGAGAATAAGTGGGAAGGGGCTTACAGTGAACAAGCAGAAAAGGACAGGCAGTGAACTGAATGCAGTGCTACAGGGGTAGAACTGCCCCACAAAGATCCTCTACAGAGGAAACACTGCAAGGGTGCAGGAGATCAGCTGTTTAAGCCACATGAGGCATCTCTGCATCACCAACCTAAATACGGCCATCCAAATACTGTCCAATCACAGTACGGTGGTCAGACAACCTGCAAAAAAAAGTTCATCCCAGATATAGCAGCAAGACCCTTCCAATAGAGAGACAAAGGGGTCTTCTCTTGGACTATGTACCTGCTTTAAGCTAATATTAATGATTTTCAGCATTGACCAATCATAAATGTGACTAGTTGGTGCCAATGAGCATAGAGGATTCACAAGCGAGTGGACATTTCTGTTGCAGCAGAAATCACCTACTTTCTTCCCAGCTGTTAATTTGCTTTTTTATATCTGCGTCTCTCAGTTATTCCCCACCAGAGCGTCTCCTCTTTGCTTGTATGCGAATCACCCTGGAGTCAGTGTGCACTGCTACACCTACTGCTTTCCTCTTCTCAGCCTGCCTTGATTAGATTGACTTTTGTCTTCTGACTTTTGGTCACGTTCTGGACTTTTTCTGCCTGTCACCAGTCTGCTTAAAGCCTTATTTCATTCTGTTTAATCGTCGTCTGCCTTCTCAGATCTGCTGTCAGCCAGTTCAGCCTGTCCCCAGCAGGTTCTGCTCAATTACCTTTCTACCAGCCAAGATCGTTTATTACAAACAAACCTTTTAAAAGCCCCCTGTGTCTGGCTGATCCCCAGGATTTCAGAGGTCGACTTGTTGCATTATGGTCTCCAAAGGACTTGACACTGGGGCAAAGATTTACTTTCCAGCTGGACGACTAAAATCATAAATTAATTTGGGTATTTTAAATACTATAACAAAATAAACAAAGCAAACTAATAATGTAATTGAAAATGACAAGTTGAGGCAAGAGAAACACTTTTCCAAACCAATTTTCTTTTTAGCATACAATTTATGAAACAGGAAATATTTACTCCTTACTGTATACTACTGTGACCTCCAAATGTCTTGATAGGGTTCCAATAAGCTTTTGTTGGAAAAAAGAAATACTCAATTTGACATTAACTTTTTTTTTTTAACAAGCTATTCATTAAAGTTACTCTTGATGAACGGAGCTGCACTGGAAAAAAAAAATCTAGAAAAAATTCACAAATAAAATGTATTTATCCTTAATTTGAGTAGTTTAAATGAGATTTTAAAAAGTATTTTTACTCTTAAAAATAAGATAATTAGATAACAAGTACTTGAGATAAGACAATGCACTTGTGTTTTCTTATTTTAAATATAAATTGCCTTGTTCCATTGACAAAATGTTTCTTTAACCTCCTCAACTCAAGACCAAATGCACTTATTTTAAGACCAAATGACTTTTTTTCTGTGATGTCAAACACTTTATTTAAGTAAAAGAAGAAATATTATATTAAGATCTTACTCAAATACAAGTAAAACATGTTGTGCAGTAAAGACATTTTTAAAAATTACTCAAGTAAATGTAACTGATGCTAATGATTTGAGTCAGGAAAAGAAAACACAAACCTCAGCACATTTAGCCAGAGTTTTATGTAAAGTTTAGGAAACTATCCATCCCTTTGTCTCCTCATTACCTTTATGCTTTGTGTTGATCTAAAATTCCCAGCAGACATTTGTGGTGGTGACGTCACAGAATGTGAGAAGTCGTCTCCTCTGAAGCTTAGTCCATTTGAATTTACACTGTCCCTTTTTGTGTTTTTCAGACTCCGTGGCTAATAAGCCTCAGGGAGGACAGCCAGGCGCCGGGGTGTATGGGAACCCGGTCGCTCCCATGGTCTCCCAGGGTTCGACCTCGTTCTCCCACAGCGTCGCAGCTACCACACCCGCCCCGTACAGCTCTGACGCCTCCTCTGACTTCACCCAGTACAACCAAGCGTACACACAGGTACAGCAAAGCAAATATGCTGATATATTGATATCAGCTGATCTGCTTGGTTAGAACTGATTGGATAAATGAGAAGCTTTAACTAGGGGAGGCTGGGAGAAATCAGACTGTTTGCATGGTAGGACAGTGAGGATGAGAGCGGATTTGGCAGTAAGCGCTGTGCGTCTCCATCTGTCCCCTGCTCCTCTCTTTTCTCAACCCTTCTCTCAAAACACGTCTTGGAGCCCTCCTACGGGCTGTTTGTCTGTTCCCCCTGTCCGTTCCTTTTTTCTTCCCTCTCCTGTCACTCCATTTCTTTTTCCCCGCTTGTCGCCGTTCCTCCTACAGCAGCAAATGACATATCTGATATTTAGCAGCGAGAAGAAAGCCCCTTTTTAAATGTTAATTACAATCTACTCATCCAAACAAATGAGTCATGATTAGGTAACCAATAAAACGGTCTGCTTAATTTGTCTGGAAGACGTGACAAAGGAGGCAAACGGGAGAGAGAGCTGTCTCTAGCAACAATGGGTAATGGCTGACAAATAAGGGCGCATTCAAAGCAGCATGAGAATCACACAGCAATACCTCCAACTGTTCAGCTTGCTGCTCTGTGTTGCTTTAGGAGGCCATGCACCAATGGTACCAGCACTACCAGGCAGCACAGGCCCACACCTACAGTACCGCTGCCCCACAGGACGGCGCAGCTGCAGACTACAGCAAGGAGCATGCACAGGTAAACCTTAGAGCAAGCTGCATCTGACTTGACATGAGGAAGGATGAAAACCCTGTTAGAAACCCAGTAACCTTGGAGACATTTGAAAAGAAGTGGTTGACACTTCAGTTGTGCTTTATCAGATCACTCTTCTTCTTTTTTTTAGTTTTATGGCAGTTTTCAATCTATTTGTAGTGCATTATTACCACCACCAACTGATAAGGAGTAAAACAAGGAAACAGGAAGCAAGACTCATCCCCTGAAAATAAAAGATAAAATGATTAATTTACTGAACCATTTAAATTAACCTAACATAATAAATGACTGATATTAAATCAAATTTGTCCCCATCATTTCTAATTTGACTTTATGCTAATGTCACTCTGCCAGTTTCTAATGCTTCTACTCATTTTCCCATTATACTTACCCAGTTTAACACTTTATAGGGCAAGTTACCATTTCTGATCACTTGCCTTACAAGCACAAGATCTATCTCCTGCCATTCAGCAAAGATCCTGCTACATGGCTGTACATCTTATTTTGGCATTCGACCAATTAGATGAGCCCTTGAATGATGTATTACCTACTGTAAATTAAGTTGAAAAGCAAAAGTTAACAATTCAAGAAAAAAAAAGATTAGAAAAGCTAATTGAAAAGTTAAAAAGTAAAGTGAAAAAGTTAATAAGCCAAGTTAACAATTATATTTAAACTAAAAAAATGTAAGTGTCAGTATCAGCACTCATATGTTGGACCAAAAAAATGTGTCTTTTACTCTCATTTCATGAATTTATTATAAAAGAACATTTTTTTTTATTTTTCTTAATATATTCGGGCAAGTTGGCGTTTCTTGTTATTACACTGATATTATTTTTTGCCATCAAAATATCCATATTTTTTAATGTTACAACGGTACTAAGGTCTTGTCCTGGATTCCAATAACGCTATTGGCTTCAAATTTTAATTTTCATAGTATTTCACTGAATGCCTATAAACACTCATCAACTCAAGCCCCACTTCCACCCGAGAAAACAGGCCAATTTATTTCAGAGATAATTTCTTTTTTCTATACGGACTACTGTATGAGCTGATCGATAGCGGCTTTTAGCGTGTTTTTGTGGAAATGTTTTTGTATCTGATCAAAGGTTTAAAGAGTTTTGAATTATCATTAGTTTTTGTTTTTATTCATTCTATTTTACTTTTGAGTTATTTTTACTATTTATCATTATTAGCTCCAGTTATAGTTTTTGTATTTTCTGTAATGCGACTTACATACCTCAGAAAAAAATAGAATCCAAGACCAGATCAGGACAGACCGCTGCAGCAGCACACATGACCGCTGATGTAATGCAAAAAACTGCAGCCGGAAACTAGACCTCGAAATGATAACTAAGCACATTCATGGATATGTTAGTTTTAATTAGCTTTATAAACTGATTAGAGTTTTAGTTTAATTATTGATTTTTGATTCTGTTTTTTTGGGTTTTTTTTTTTGCAACTTCTGGTTTTGATTTTTTATTCCCATCATCATTTTTTTTTATCTTAGTATTCCTGATTTCATTAGCTGTAATTTTCAATAACCACCTTGATCTTAACAATTAATTATAACAATTAATATTAATAATATCTGTAATATTGCTCATTAAATTAAGTTTAGTTACTCTTTTTTTTTTTAATAAACATTAACCTTCATATCTAACTTTCAGAGTAACTCTCTGCAGCCATATTCTTTCTTTTTGTTTTACTTTTTCCCACTCTGTCATGAACAGTAAAATCCATGGATAATTTTATAAAGTGCAATACATTATAGTTTGTGGCTGCAACCTGACCAATGCAAAAACCTTTACATAGTTATATTCTCTTTAAAAAAGGACTGTTTATAGTGAAGGATTTTAATTTTCTTTTTCTTTTTTGATTGTGTATGACGATAAAGTTTGGTGATTGTAAGATGTTTGTGTTCCAGGTTCCTGCTGCCTCCACCTATGGGGATTACACCACCTACATGCAGGCTGTGACTCAGTACTACTCCCAGCCTCCAACAACAAACCAGGCCTTCACCAGCAAGGTACACACAGGCTGGCTAAGTTCAAAACAGCACCTCATATTCTCTCGGTTTAATCCAAAAGTTGTGTTATCAGTTTGTCGAATAAAAAAAAATTACCCATAATACACCTAATATGAAGTAGCAGTGAATATAAGGTTGTTAATAACTGTAATTTACAGCTGCTTTTTGTATCTCTGCTTCTGTCTCCTTGAACCCCAGTCGGCCTCGGCAGATGGCCGCTCACATTGAGCCTGGTTCTGCTGGAGGTTTCTTCCTGTTAAAAGGGAGTTTTTCCTCTCCACTGTCGCTACAATCATGCTAAGTGTGAAGGATTGTCTTCAAGTCAATGAGTCGATGCAATCAACTGGTTTTCCTTAGATAGAAAGCTTTGAATCAATTGACTGTATGATCTGGTTGAACTGTAAAGTGACTTGAGATGACATGGTTTGTGAATTGGCGCTATAGAAATAAACTAAATCGAATTAATTAATTCCCTAAAGATATTGTCATAAACACTGAGATCTTGTTTTATGAAGCTTTACTGTAGATTCACGGATGTTCATTTCACCGTAGAACTAAAGACAGTTTTCCAGCTTTTCTATAGTATAAATCTGCGAGAATATGCACTGCAGTTATCAATTTGCAACCTGCCTCATAAATAAATACATACTAATTTAAATGAAATGCCATTAGTAGATTATTTCTGATCTCCACTTTATAATTTTGATCATGTTTGGGCTTTACTATAAATCTTATACATCTGATGGGAAGGATGTTCCTTGTGAAGTGTTTGAGGCTGCATGCCTCAGGAATGTTACTTGCATTTGCATGAATTCCCTGTTTCCATTATTGAGTGACCTTGGAATAAATCCCGGATATAATTTTTGAAGTTTTAGTAAACTGGAAAAAGTATAACTCTGCAGCAGTTTCATTATACGAATGGATCTACCTTTGGTGTGACGGTTGAGAAGTTTGTGTGCCAAATGAGGCTGTAGGTTTTCAGAAGTTGCTTGCAATTATTTTGCATTTAGATTTATTCATAGATGGTTTTCTGGTGCTGAAGTTTTAAAAATCTCTTTGTAGGAATATTTTATTTAGGTCTAACTTCTTGGGCATAAACTGAAATAAAAAAAATAGAGTTTGACTTTCAGCGACCACTAGAGGGCGGAAAGGTTCAACCACTTCTGAAGCAGATAATCAGAACATGCAGACTATTAGGAACACAAGTTTAACATTTGAAGGAGATGTTTTATCCTGGATGCTTATTGTTGTATGGATGTGTTCAATGCAGGAAGTAGAGGTGTGTAAGCCTCTGGGAGTCCCTCTGCATGCAGTCAGTAACGGTCCAGCACCTCCTGCGGCGGTTCTGCCTGCCGCCGCCGTGCTCCCAGCCTACAGCGCCCTTCCTTTAATGCCTGGCTTTCTCGGAGCACCACATCCCCCTCCGGCCGGTCCCAGCTCTGTCACGCACGCTCACACGGCGGCCACAGACTGGAACACGTACTACTATGTGAGTCACATTATAGGACCTGACTGTTGGAAATGAATCCTTTCATACTGGGATTCCGAAAGATTGAGATATTTTTTCAATTTAAGGAAACATAATCTTTGTTTTTGATTTTACTGATGAATCCATCAGAACTTCACTCTCAATTTGTGATTTTCATCAAGAGTTTAGCATTTTTTTAGACACTTTTAAGAATAATGTGTTCTTTGTATTTTTATAAATTAAAGCTAAATAACAAAAGAAGCAATTTATAATTTTAGTTGATTTGATTGATTTTGGACGGTTTGAAACATAAAAGACAGCGAGACAGCAAAGAAAAACAGATCAGCACGAAATCTTTAGAAAAACACTGAGCTTGTTATTCTTGGATCAATTGTTCGAAAAGAAGAAGGAAGGAATTAAATCTTAGCAAATTGCTAAAACTTATAGAAATCCCATCCCCCGTCTCTCTTAACTGTAAAGTTCAGGTAGTTTCTTTTAATAATTCTGCTGCTATCCCCTGAACTACAAAAAAATAAAAACAAATAAAATAAATACTGTAGATGCAAAAACACCAATGAATGACTTACAAATTAAGTAAAGGGAATAAATAACCAATTGTTTTTAGTTTTGGTTCCTGGTAATTCAGTGTGTTAAAGGTTAAATGTCACATATTAACAGATGCAAATAGTGGGAACCAAAGTTCCTCTAACTTTCTGTTCTTTATATATGAAGGTGGTTTCAAGTCCTGTTCTTTGTTTGGGATTTCAACTGAATTTCAGTTTTCGTTGGGAACCACTAATGGGTCCTTCCTTCCTTCCTTCCTTCCTTCCTTCCTTCCTTCCTTCCTTCTACCTACCATCTCTCCTTGGTGTCCTTTCCTCTCCTCCTGTCCTCCCTTTTTGAGTTTCTGCTTTTTCTGATATATTAAAGTTTGTACTCTGTGGAGATATCTGGCAGACATTCATTTTTTACCTTGAATATGATGTAAAGATTTGGGGACTCCACACCCAGCCAGTCCTAAGGAGAAATGGGCATCTGAGGAAGAATCTTGTTGACACCTCAGAGCAGTTTAAACCATTTAACATGCAGGTTTTCTGTGGATGAGAAGATAACATACATGCTGCAAAGCCTGGATCCTTTGGTTTAGAGGCTGTGGTATTTATCTGCTCCCCCATGATATACTCCATATATTGTGAATATACTCATTATGTGGAGGTTAAACATCACTGCATCTAACTTGGCTTTCTCTTCTTTCTTTTTTGTTCAAGAAGATTGAAGTTATAAAAGCCTTTCAGAGAAAAAAAAAGCTTGAGAGGAGGTTAAGAGAAAGGAAAACTGTCACTATAAACCAAACAGTTCCAGACTTTCTTGCTGGGTCTCGCCTTTAGTGAGATTTACGTTTGTTTGTGCAGCCTGCCTCTGTGCAGCCTGCCACCCCCTAAATCTACCAGCCCTGAACACTAAGATCAAATGAGCTTTTTTCATTTTCCACTTTCTGCTCAGTGTTTTACTTTACAGATTATTTGAGAGCTTTTTAATGGTCTGTATCTGCATCATTCAGAATATTTTCTTACTTAGATTATGCATCACTTGTTTTAGTCAAATACAAGTCAGACTAATTTACACAATTTACAAGTTGCTCAAAATAAGGCCTTTTCAATAAAAAGCCAGCCTTTTTTTCCATTAGTAACGATTAAATGGACACAGTTCTGCTATTATTGCCTCCTTGCATGTTGTTCCATCTGTACCAGTGTGCAAGAGAGTCCCAAATGTGCATACATTATTACACTATTATAACAAATATATTCAACAGTTAATAACTGTATACTTGGTTAGTTTTGACCGCCATAAGGAAGCAAACTGAAGTTTTAATGATGAAAACGGGGCCATAGGTGTTGAGTCCAGTTACCCCTAGAAAAAAATGTCTGTTCTGCAGAATATTCTTTCGGGGTAAATTATCGTTTAAATGGGATACGGTCCTGGAAGGAGACCATGCAATGCTGAGGGAAACGGTTTCACACCTCTGAGTATTCCAGCGCATCATAGCTTTGATTTTAAGGCAGTGTTGGTGTGTGACAGATTGGTTTTAACTAGCACATTTCAGTTTTTCACATTCCACCTCAGTGCGGCCGAGTGCAGGTGTAACGTCCACATTATACCGGTCTCTGTTTAACTTGTTGAGTTTTTTTTCTTACCTGCATGATAAATGTAAAGATAAATAGCTAATCAGTTTTTATTGAAAATAAAACTTTAGATTTCTCTGTTCTGTTCTGGTTTACAAACAACTAATTAAACGTATAAATATGATTCATTTGAACTATTTTTCATTTTGCTGATTCACTTTTGCACTAAAGAGATTTCTAGAATACGTCTTTTTTGACTTTTTCACTACATTTCCTACAGATTTGTCCATTTAAAACAAACATTCGGAGTGAAAAACAAAAAGTATCTTTTGAATAAAAAGATTGTTCGTCCCTTTCTTAAGAAATTTCAAACAAATCATTGGCATTCATCTATGACTCTGAACCATGATGATACATTTTCACCTTCATTATTGTCTCTCCTCAGAACCAGACCCGGGGGATAAAGAGGGACTACCCTCAGCTTGCAGTGCAGGAGGCGCCGCCATCGGAGAGTGCGTATATCGGGCAGCACTCCCAGGGCCTGGGAGGCCAGTACGCCGACTACTTTAAGAGGAAGAGGCTGTAGAGTACACCAAATGACCTTAAAGCCCACAGCTCCAGGGGGAGACACAAACCAGCTGGATGTCACAGCTCCCTCTAGTGGCCTTTTCTGTGGCTGCCATTTTGCATCCCTGCAGTAGGTGTGGAGTTATGTCAGATCAGGGCTGCAGATGGCTGGATTGAAAACAAGCCATAGTGCTCTTTGATTTCCAAACTTTAGTTCACTCTTTCACAGTATTTGCTTTTGTCTTGTTCAAGCCTTAACTATTTATCTTAAATGTTTGTTTCTATGTCCCTGTTCCTAACTAATATTATCCTGTACAGTTTTTCCAACATAATCCAAACTAAAGTAGATTATATCTGTGTGTAGAAGCTGCTTTTTTTATTTGCAGGCAGCTGACTTTTCCAGATGCTGAAACTGCCCAAACAGTCGGTCCTCTCTGCGTCTTTTTTTTTTTTTTTTGTTATAGAAAAACTCAGATTTGATCCGTTTGTTCTAGCTTCACTGCCTTTTATTACCCAGGATCCTCTCTAAACCTACCTAAGGGATGTGTGCGTGTGTTTGCGTTTTGCTTTGCTGTTATCAGTAGGAAGTGTCAGCCATTTCTCTCCCAGGTGTTGGGAGCACATCAGGAAATAAAAGGGTCTAAACCAATCAGAGCCCTTAAAGGAAAAGTCCGGTCAGATTCAGAATTCAAACTTCTGAAAGTACTTTAAATATAGAATTATCACAAACTGTTCAATAATTGATAAGTGTTTCAATTAATAGTAATTTTTAATTTGAATGTGATTTATTGGAGACATTATCCATGTTTGTCAAAGAACGCTTCTGCCACCTACCAGTTTGTGACGTCATAGTGCAGTATCGGCTGTTGAACAAGTCCCAGGGCTGTATCTGGTGTTTGTCACAATGTGCTATTATCCAATCATATTGAAAACATTCTTCTTTGAAAGGTTGGCTACATATTATTTTTCTCTGGCCAGAAGTTTGATGGCAAACGCTCCCTCTTCAAGTTGGCAATCCAACTCCAAACCCGTCCTTGGAGGATCATGAATCTTAAAGGTTAAATAACTCATGTTTTTTTCACTTTTACTCGATGTATTACAACACCCAGCTGGCATTGTCAGTTTAACTATAGCTCTGGTGAATTTCAATGGTGAGGTTATCTGGAAATCTTCAATAATTGTTGTTGATTGCAGATGGGTCGAGTAGCTCCTATTGATTTTGCTTGTAAAGCGGGGAGAATGGCACTAGGCTTACCGTACTGTGACGTCACTGTCGGAAGATGTCAGGAGTGAGGTGTTGCTATATATGGGTAAAAATAGCTGGATATAGCATAGCTGGACAAAAATTGGTTTTATTTTGTTACTGATTAACGCTAAATTCATTATACCAACACAAACGTATTAGTTTTAGGTATAGATAATGATCTAATGATTATTCCTTTCTGACCGGACTTTTCCTTTAAATTTCGATGAATCAAATGGAGTCCGTCAACAGTTGGACTTTTCGGTTAAAGCCGAGCGTATGGAGGCAATGACGAGATAAACTGCTGTGTAAATATTGCAGTGTAGTATAGAATATATGAAGCCATGCGTAACAGACAATAACACATATAATAAAGGGCGTTTTTAAGCTCATTTTGGAGTGTGGTGTACAACAATAAAGAAAAAAAGTTTTGTCAATCTACAATATATTATTATATATTTGTAATATAATAATCTAAGGCAGTTTGAGTATTGTATGAATAAGATGTCCTGATGAGACTTTAATGTTATTTGGTTGGGTTTGTACTGTTAAAGCCAAATATTCAGGCACAAGTTGTCCTCTGCTGTTTTTTCTGCTGTTTTTTTTTCTAAACATTTTGTTTAATCTGTAACAGGAGCTTTAATCCATTAATCCAGCCGCCATTTTTCATGAAGCGTTAAGTTTGTATAGGATGGAATGAAGTTAGTCAAAGTCGGTTATAACAACATGGTAGAAGGTTATTAATAATTTCATTTCATAAAACCAGCTCCAGATGGAAACCTCCAGGTGATTTAGATGCTATTATTTGCATTTAATGGAGATGTTTATGTCTGAATGGAAATTCTCAGCCATCTATTAAGATGTAAAACGGACTTACTATCAGGATCAAGTCAGGAACTGGATGATTCCACAACGTTAACCTTATTTTAAGTCAGAAGAATCACGTTGGGGAAATTAACTATTACTTTAAAACCTACAAGGGAAATAAGTGGCTTTGAGCTCAACTGTGCATAAACCTCTGCAATAAAATAATATCCCAAAATACAAAGAAAAAAAATGTATTTACTTTTTTATTTAGTTTATAATTTGTATGAATAAACTATGTTAAGTAAATTAAGTTTGGCAAACTTAATTCAGTTACTTCTTACCGATTGAAGCAATTCATTTCAGCTGAAGCTGCATAAGTTACTACCTTACTATTATAAGAATTTGCAAACAATTTTTTGGCATGCATAATAAAGACTTATAGATGATGATTTATAAAGTGTTTACAGATTAATTAATAACAGATCTATATAATACATACAAGCCATCTTTAAGGAAGGCCTTATTGTAAAAATGGTAGCAGAAGTGCTACTAACAGTCCAAATAGGAAAGTTTACCTGCCTTAGATTACTTTGCCCTCATTGGGAAACACACTTAGGGGCTGATTAGAAGCCTGAAGCATTAAATCTGTACAGAGCTTCACCCATTGAACAGTTGATGGTTTTGGCTTTAGAAGCAAAAGGAACCAGTTTTTAGGAGCTCTACCACTTCTGCTTCTAGGAGGGCTGCAATATCCAGACTTAGGACCTTGTTGATGGAAATGGGAGGTTTCTGGTTTCTTTGCAACTTGCTGATACTGTATGCATCTATTTAAGAGTTTATGAATCAATTTAGTCCCGTGTGGATTAGATCAAATCCAAAATAAATGAAGTTGTTTGATAAGTTTTGGTTTTTACCATAAAAAACAGAGAATAACTCAAAGAAATCCTTTAAAGTCTGCAATTTTTCTAGGCCTCTTTCAGAGCAGGATCCCAGTGACTTATCCAGCTTGCCGTAGGTCAGCACCAACCAGAAGAAATGTCTCACTGTCAAAGCAATGATGATTGAATGGGAAACGTGTCAGAACCGTGTTATAAGATTGTGTAAAACTTTCTTCTTATTTGTTTGAGCAGTTTAACACAAGAGAAACTACCAGATAAACTTATTTTGTCGTTTGACAAAAAATATTCAGAAGGATTTTCAGCCTTTTCTGCAGTTCAACTACTACAAAGTTAAATGAATTTGTTTAAAACTTTATTTTTGCAGTTATAACCAGATATCTACATTAGATCCTTGCAGTTTCCAAACTTTTCCTCTCCTTCTGACATAAAGTCAGCGGCTTCTTCTGTTCTTGTTGGTGGAGAAGTCGTATCACTGTGGAAAGTGATGCTCTAACCACATTAAGCCAGCATCCTTATAAAACTCAAACACATCTTTATCTCTGAGGGACTTGGAACCCAAACCTTTCCTGTACAGCAATGGATTGGAAATTAATAAAGGTTTCTACTATAGTTTTATCTGATTAATACGGCAACTTTACACATTTAGTTAACCTACCCAAGGATGAGCCAGACCAGCTGAGCTCCACAATGTTTTTTCCGATAGGTTGGCAGAACCTTTAGACCCTTTGCTGATGTCAAAAGAAAACCATGGGTTTGAGGTGCTACCTTAAAGTGCCTCTATCATGCAAAATTTGATTTTTTTATTTTATTTACATTTTCATTTTATAACGGTTTTCCTCATCACAATCAGTGGTTCCCAACCTTTTCTGACCCATGTACCTCTTTGGGTATTTTTTCGTTCTATGAGTCCCCCTCTCAGTCAGAAGTATTGATGTTTGTCCAAAAGCGAAACGTACAGTAAATGATTATAAAATAAAGACAATTTTACTTAATCTTTTAATTTGAGAATTTAATTCTTATAATTTTATGCTTTCCGTCTCAAATGAAAAAAATGATCATGGATATGTTTCCTGGAAGTTAGTAAAGAATTGAAATAAATACAGAATAAAATCCTGTTATAAACCTGTATTTATAAAACTGGAGCTCCTCTGAGTAACTCCCTTATAATCAGATTTAAATTTGATGAATTGGGAACAAAATACAGAACAACACTTCTAGACTGACTTAATTAGCTGATACCAGGCTGTTCTCAACATCCAGTCTTTTCCTCTGCTGGGTTTTGATGTGTGTCAAAGCTGAAGATAAACTCAAACATATGAGAAAAACTTACTTTGTGGTTGATAAAAACTTGTTTATTTTTCATTTGGTTCCTCACAAAGCAAAACAGATCCCAGTCCTATTTTATTTTACTGCCTAAGAAATTAAATATGTTAATGTACCCCTTGCAATGTACTTGCAGACCACTAGAAGTATGCATTCCCCCTGGTTTGGAAAAACTGATCAAAATCAAAAAGAAATTGGTATTATCAACCATATCTAAGATACAAAGTAAAAAAAAAACTCCTTTGTTCATCCTTTTAAAGTCTAATTGCTGTTAGTAACAGGATATATGGCAAAGTCAAACTACACAAGGAGAGGCAGCATTGCATCTTTAAAGTTCGTATCTTTTTAAGCCTTTTAACGTCATTTAATGTATGATGAAATAATGTCTTTAGAACTTCTGAGTACTCATTCTAAATATAGTTGTTTTTGTTCAATCCTGAAGATAAAGACCTTCATAGGAAAACCGCCTCCCCCTGTCCGAGTGCTGCATATTTTTTGACATTGCAATTTGACAGCCGTCTAAAAGCTGAGCAACATCTAAGATCTCTGGCAGCCAAAAAAAAAAAACAGATTTTCTGCCATTTAGACATTAACTTAAAAAAGGATTTGTTTCCCTGTGCAGATTAGCTGCTAATGGAGCCTCTTCAGCTTACCTTTGAGCCAGAATCATCATGCTCTGCTTGACATCAGGATTACTCAGACATGCATGAATCAAGTGAGATACCCCTGTGTGTTTGATTTTGATGAAGGATCAGTGACAAAGTTAAAAAACCTCAAAGTTTTTGCATAATTAGGCCCTTTAAAACAGATTCACAGGTGTGCAAACATCCTGCGCTTTCTAAAACAGTTAAAATTGGTAATAATCTAGATGTTTGTAAAGCTAACCGACCTGAAACGGAAAGCATTCAGTGTCTGATACTCTATGTAAATATCTGGTTTATTCTGTCACATGTTTTTTTTGTGTGTGTGTTTTCTTTGGAAAATTTCTTTCAGTTTGTTATGTTAATAATTGCACAATAGATATTTATAAAGTTAATGTGTTTTTAGATCAGTTCAAACATTAAGTACTGACCTTTAATAAAAAGCAAAAATGAAAGGCAATAACAATGGCTCCATCTACAGTCAAAGACGAATGTACGAAGTTTTTATTTTCTATTTTAAGGCTAGCCATTCTGCCACTGGTTTATACTCATGGTGAAATCTTTCTCTTTTTTTTCTATCTCTATTTTTATGTTTTTGCATTTTTGCTTACAAATGTATCAGAATTTTATATCTTTAAGAACAATAGAATTTGTATCGCCATGGCAGTCATGCTCACACACTGTGAAACCCAACAGCTCACAGGATGAGGTGGTGGGAGGAACTGTTGGTTTACATCCTATTAGAAAAAACAGAATAATAGATGCATGTATGTTTAGGTGGAAAATCTTTATGTCTGCAATGTTTGTCCTGGAAATTAAAGAAATTACGGAAGATGGTGAAATTTACCTCAAAACTGAACCACTTACTACCCTAAACATCACTGAAAAAAGTCTAAATCGAGATCATAAAGTCAAGTTTAAAAGAAATGCTGCAGTTTCTCCCCGATAAAGGAGACTGAATCGCTAAAACAAATTTATATTTTCCAATTAAAAAACTAAACATATAACAGTCTTCTCTGTATCATGCAATCTTTACTTGATGCAAAAAAAAGAGTAATTTAATGTATTTTTTTTTTATTACTAGATACCAGCTTATAACTAGATTTGTTGCAATGATTGTACTTTTTTTGTGTGTTGATTTAATTTTTGCTCCTTTTCCCTGTTATTTTTACAAATATAAAATTACAACTGACAGTATCCCTTTATAAGAAGTTAAAAAAAGGGATTTATCACTCTTTTTGTGTAAAACACAAAGGCTTGTTTCAACAGAACATTTTTCTCTTGTTCCTTTTAGTCTTGGCCTGATCCTTTCCAACCACTCGTTTAGTCGCTTCAGCTTGTGAGGAGTTAAAAGGGCGTTTACTCTAATTTCTTATTATAGAGTATGTGTGAGGGTTGTGTACTTCAGAAAGACTAAGGAAGTGATGAATAGTTGTTTTGTTTTTTTCCATTCTCACTTTATCACCATAGAGCCAAAACATTTTGTGATACGATTTTAACTCCATATAGCCCAGCCTTGCTGCTGATTTCTGCTGTTTTGAAAGATGTTTCCATGTTTTTCTCTTGTGGAATTCATTTCCTGCTGCACGCATCTCTATGATGCTTCTGAATATTGAATTTTTTTCATTCAATTTTGTCTTTAAGATGATTTCATATTAGAGACAGTTTTTAATATAACATTTCATCCATCTTACTAGCAGATATCTACTCTTTAATGAAAAGGAAATGAAAAACCTGGCGCTAACTCTTCCTACACTCCAAGCAGGAAATATGTTGAAGAAATAGACTCAACTTTGCGCTGCTGCTGTTTTTTTTTGTTTTTTTTTTCCCACTATATATTTATTTCATCCAGCTTAGTTATTTTAACCATATGTGGGGGGCTGAACTAGATAAACAAATTTTTCTCCAGCTGGTGAAAAATAACTTTAACAAATGGACCTTAAAGGTATAGATGAGAATGTTCTTTTTCCGGGTGGATCATCAAAATAAGTGGTCCTACTAATTGTCAATCATTCTGGTGATATGTTTACGTAAGGCCGTCCTACAGGCTCGTCCCTATTTTCACTTACCAGAGGAGAGTCTGAAATAGTGGAAACATTCCAAAATCCTCCATTATATCTTTAACTTTTCTTAAGTATACTGTCATTTAAATCCTCTCCGTTAGGTACATGGTTTGAAATATAACTATAGTAGTTCAAAAATAGTCTGCTCTGACTTCGTCCAGTAAAACGTCTCAATAAAATTCCCAGCTGGTTGTGTCGATGAGGCAGCAGATCAGGCCTTCATCATGACCCCCATGCTTCATAGTTTTATAATTCCCACTAAGTACAACTGTGCAAACTTTCACCAACTCCTACTACCAAAGCATTGTGCACATTTACTTTGCAGGAAGAGCTTATATTTCGCTTTTGGAACAAGCAGATCAGTTTCATTCATGGTGTCCATCTGTTTTGTTTTACAGTAGAAACACATTCAAAGATTGAAACTCTTGCACCTCCTTTTGGTTTATCATCCTTTCTGTTAGCAACAGTATCTGCAGAGGCTTGTAGCTGTGGGTATTTTCATATTTCATACTTTTACAGCAGAAGAATCATTGCCAGGCTGGACATTTTAATAAAGGGAATCAAAATCCCATTATTCAACCATTTGTATGCTGGATGTGATGAAAATATCCAGCCAGTATCGCTCAGTATGTGGGTTTTATCTTCTTCCTGCGAGCAATTAGAAATTAAAAACCTGTTGGTTCTCAGTAGGCTTCTGAGTTGATTGAAACTTCTTGATTCAAGTTATCATAATCCATTGAGCTGTAGATAATGAACCGCCGTTCCATCCACAGTCACCGGGCGTCTGGCAGGCAACAGAGAAATAGGGAGAGACGGCCTGCAGGGATTATTCCTACCCTGTCTGCTCGCTCACTGAAGTGTCGGTCGTGTCTGCCAGGCTCCTGTAGAGCAGTCTAATATTGGGAATCTCTGCTCACTGCTTTGGGACGTGAATCTAGACTCAGAAAGGTCTGCTGGGTGCTCGTTACCTGCAGAGGGAAACATCCCGCTTCCTCAGAGGCAGAGAAAATACTTCTTAGTGATGGCGCTACTCTCTAAAGGAGTTTCTCCTTTGGGTCCTCTTGCTGATGTTCTTCCAGCAGATTAAGTCGGGATCTATTGCGTAACCCGTCCTGTTTGAGCTGTTTTGCTTCACAGTGTGAGCATCTGCAAACGAGCCACTGGTCAGTAGTGAGGCTGCACTCTGCAATCAACTTGTGTCGATCACAGCTTTGCAATATTTAATTCTTTTT